CCAGATTTTAACAACAATTTGCTTAAGAATAGAACTGGAGCTTTACTTTTTGACTCTGGTCTTCGGTGCATTGAATTCCATCATTGTTATGGGAGGGTTATTATTGCTCAGCAATCTCTTCTGTTATATTGCCATTCATTAGTAATAGAAGGGAACACATATTTTGATTGGTAAAGAATAAATTCACAATTTTTTAAATACTCATGTTGATCTGCATTTGAGATGTGTGTCTTTCCACAAACCATGTCATGTGTCAGTCTGGCTCAGTGGTAGCACTCTCTCTCCTGTCAGAAGATTGTGGGTTCAAGCGTCACTAAGAATAACATACTCTAAGCTGACACTCCAATGCAGTGCTAGATGTGAGTTGCATTGCCGGAGGTGTCGTCCTTCAGATGAGACTTTAAACTGAGGTCCCATCTGCCTGTTCAGGTGGACACAAAAGATTGCATGGCACTATTCGAAAAGAGAAGGGAGTTTCTCCCAGTGCCCTGGCCAACCAATCGCCTAAGTAAAATTGGTTACTCACTCATTGGCTGTTTGTGGGACAATACTGTGCACAATTGGTTGCCACTTTCACCCACAAAATACACAGTCAATCCACTTTACAGTATATCCTGGGAAGCGTTTTGAGACATATCAACGATGTGATAAGGTGCTATAAGTGCAAGGATTATTATTATTATCATTGTTGTTGCAATATTTGCATGAGCACATCCAGCAGCAAATCCACACCCCAGCTGAATTGTCTCTTTCATCACTTATTTGGATCACGAGTGTACTTGATTGACCAAAGTGAAATCATTTATTAAAGTTATCAAAGTTAACAGAGTTGCATTTCTCAAAGCAGTTTTAAGAATATTCATTACAGTTCAGTTAACTTTAAATCATAAAACTGTCAAGAAAACTTTTCTTTTACTGTCAGAGGTATGGGATGTCAATACTCCTGGACTGTGAAGTGAATAATAATAATAATCCGACATTTTATATAGCCTTATCACATCTTCGAGACATTTCAAAGCGTTTCACAGAATATACTATAAAGTGAATTGACTGTATTTTGTTTGTCGAAATGCTATGAAATTAAGTCTGGTGTCAAGGAATGCTGCTAGGCTCAAAACTACAAACTAAATTCCTGCAACTGAAACAATCCTTCCCTGTAGCGTGAGGCACAACAAACTGTATTCTGTGCACTTGTCGCATGATAACAGAAGGAGATATGAAAACAGAAATACTTCCAGACAGCTAAAAGAAAGTAGCATTTTGAGCAATTTTAATCTAAATTTGGAATATTTTTGTTTCACCAAATAAATCCCAGGGACTTTACTCGTGCATTGTTAAGACAGCCTTCCATGCTAACGCTGGCATCAGGTAACTCAGTTGTCAAGTTCTGGCTCATTTGGAAGCACTCTTGCCTCTGAGTCAGAAGGTTGTGGGTTCAAACCCCACATCAGGGGTTTGAGCGCACATCGTCTAAGCTGGCATTTCACACAGTACTAAAATGTGCTACATTGTTGAAACAGCCATCCTTGGAATGAGACAATCTGTGGCTTTTCACAAAAACAGAAGGGTGTTTCTCCTGTTTGTGGGATATTGCTGTGAGTAAATTGGCTACCATGTTCACCTACAAAAGACTCAGTCACTAAATTTTAAAATATATTGTATGATGCACTTTGAGACTCCCTCCTGACTGAAAGGCATTATATGAAATGAATGCTTTGAGACATCCTCTCAATGTGGAAAAGCTATATCAAATGTAAGAATTATTATTTTAATCTTACCACTTTGTTACTTTTAAGGAGGTTCACTGTTTAGCTCAACTGATAGAAAACATGTTTACTGATTAATGGAGAATTCGTTTCAGAATGTTGCTTCGCAGCCTGAAAATCAAATGAATTAATTTACCTTTGCTGTTACCGGGTCAAACAAATACTTTGAGCCAATCCCTCCAAACTGCTATTCTGTAATATCATAGGCAATGTACAGTGCCATGCCATGCGTAATGTATTCTGATAGACTGTCTCTGAATAAACGGTAAGCAGATCAAGATCTAAAGATGTTTGTTCATGGATGTAAATCTTCAATTTTTTTTACCTATCTATTCCTGTTTAGAAATAATATATAATCCTAAGCATCAAAATTTGGATATCATTTCAACTTTGTATATAGATCTTTCCTCCTTTCCCACCCAATCAAATATGGACTTCTGAAATATGAATTACTTCTGTAATAAAGCATTTTAAAATATCTGCATTGCAGCAGTGTTAGTCAGATGAGTCCAGATCCCACTGTAGCACAAAAGGGTCATTAACTAAATGCAGTTGCCAAGCAATGGCAAAATGTTTCAGTCCTCCTGTTGGAGTAGAACTTGATTGGTATCAGTGTGTTTATTCTTTCTTGCATGCTCCCACCTTATCTCCCCAACAGGTAAATTACTAGATCACAAGAGAACTATTACATCCTTTGGTTTATTTGATCTCATCTTTCCAAAATAACTGCCTTACTAGTTTGACCAATATTCCCTAAAGCAATGGTGAAACAAAAACAACAATGGGTGAGACCGCTGGGAATCAATTGAATGGATTTACCACCAATACTGGGCAAGGAAGATGACAGTTACCAGTGATTTCACCTGGTTTTGAACCAAGGCTTGTTCCAATGGCAGTCGGTGAGGTGGGGGGGGCAAGAATGAGTTTCTTAACACCTGGAATCAGTTACTAATTATCACCTAAATGCTAATGTTTCTTAATCACATCAAATTTGTTAAGAAACATTACATTTTCACTCAATGGTCATTAAATGAACCAACAAAACTGGCTAGCAGAAAAACAGACATGTAATGCAAACATACTCCTAAAAGTTAGTGACTGCTGATAGACATCTCCACTGGCATCATACACAACTCCATCATCCACAGATTACCATCAGACATGTCAGCAAGATTCCCTTCAGGCTCACTGGGTGAGCTGCATGAGCAGCCGACTTGATCTGAATTGTGCACAAGGTCAGGATTAGGATGTATTGTGTACACCATATGCCAAACATTAAGCCATTGAATTTAATGCTGTTAATGAGATAATGCAGTTAATGAGGTTTAATGGTGTTTTAAATATTGCTCTTCAGTGTGGTTCCAGTGTAGCTGGAGGCAATGGGGTTGAAAAGCACTCCTCAGGAAAAAACGTAAAATTTGTGATGCCTCAGCCAGTAAAAGCACTTTGGGACATAAAATGTGCTTCTGCGGAGAAATCCACGTATGTCAAGCTCACCCAAAATCGCCTTGGAGTCAAGGTCTCGTGAGTTAGCATAATATCTATGGTGTTCTCTGCAGAAAATACACTTGACATCCTGAAGCACTGTTTCCGGTGACAAGACACCAGTAACATTATAATGTTGCTTGGAAGCGATTTGTCATCCCCAATGAGTCTCTGTTACATTATGTTGACTGAGAATGTGTATCTCCAAATGACTGCTCAGCTCATTGTTTAGAATTCTCTCCTGTTGACCAGTATTAATTCCCTGCATAAATCACTGAAACAGGCCAAAAATTTGAAAGACACTGAGGGGAAAGGGGCAACAGAGTTATAGGACCAGACTTATCTCCTTGACAATCGAAATGCACAGAAACATGCAAAAGTGTTTCCCTATAGAGTCCTAAATCACTGCAGCTTGTTGGGTCTTCTAAAATACACTATTCATGTCTCAAGGATGGAATCGTCTGTACAAGGGTTTTGAAATTACAGACTGGCTCATAGGACAATGCCAATTTTACAAGTGCTTGTAATGTGAACTGATATAAGTAGCAGAAATTTATAATGCATGGTTTATAATTTTTAACATGTACAATGATCACACAATTTATGCTCCTTTTCTGCATTCTTAAAATGTTTTATTTAAACAATTTATAAGATGGCATATAAACAGTGCATCAAATACAATGTACCCAGAATGAGTCTCAACTGATGGACCACTCCTTAATCAATTATAAATTAACTGTTAACCCAAGTATTCTCTGTTAGATCTGCTCACTATATTTAAAGTTTTTGTTGGAATAAGCCTATAGTCCTGAGACAGCCAGGTCTGCACTATTACAGGGCATTGCTGATGACAGCACAGCCATCTTGGCTCATCAGTAAGACCTGGAAGGTCAGACCAGTCACTGGTGAGCAGGGAATCCTCCCACTTAGCTGCTGTTAATCCTGCAAGCCAAAGCCCTAACTGATTGGGTGGTCCTCGCTGGACAAGTAGTAGTGGAAAGCTTGGCAGATGGTGCTCGCGATGGCAAGCTATATTGTTGTAGCTGGTTAGACTCCAGAAATACTCCCTGGGGTTCCCAAGCCTTGGCACTTGCAAAACTACACTTAATACTTTCTGGAATTAGGTAAGCAGGGTGCATCTCTCCAGGGAGAGAGTGTGCATTCCATTCCAACAATCTATCTCTGGAATTTCCATGTGTAGGTGGGATGCAAGGAATTCTCAGTTTGATTTGGATACTCTTGAGCATGGTGAAGTATTTCAGTGAATGTCAGACACCCATATGACAAAAAAAAGCTTACACACACTGCTCTCCCAATGGTCAAGTGTGTATAGGCACTTCCTGGTGCAACATAAGTCATTACAGAAAGGCTGTGGATGCAGGATCCATTTGCATTTTCAAGGCAGAGGTTTGTATTGTAGAATATCTTTAGCACAGTCCTTATACATCATAATTGTGTTGTACTCCAGATATGACATGCACCTGAACCAGATTGCATTTACTAAAGGCAAAGGTGTCCTGGGAAGTCAGTCAAGTATTAATGACAATAAGCTTTTATTCGAGCAATGAGAGCAACAACAATAACAGTGAAGATCTTAACAGTGTGAATCGTTAATAACCTGATTTATTCTTCATTTAGCTACTTCACTGTTCCATGTAATCTTTTGTCTCCCCCTTCTGACATCAAATATATTTTTTTCATAAAAGCACTCTGTTTCCACTCACACTAGATCTGTGTCTATCTTTGCAGACTGTCTACAAAGCCTGGCTGTGTTCCCAATATTTTGAGGTCGCACAGTTTCACTGTAGCTCCAGAATTCCTTGCAAGCAATACTGTTTGGAAGTCCAGACCAGGTGTCCATTTGTTTTACCAGACAATGATGATCTCATCTATGGTGGATTACCAAGTTTCATCTGTACAGGTGAGCAATACCATCTGCAGCACACTTAAATGCAGCAATACTGCCACTGACACTTAGTAACGTTATAACTAGGTGCATATATTCTGCTTAATAAAAAGTATGTGTTAGAGTACCTGGGGAGGACAGCTGCAATGTGCTTGTCTCCCAGATTAATAATTGTGTCTTTGATGTTCCAGTTATTCCACCTGTCACTGTCGAGAGAAAGGGTCATTGTGTATTAGACCATTAGGTGGAAACCATGCTGTGATTGGATGCTTCATGAAGGGAAGAGGAGTAGGAAAAGCTCACACTGCTCTTCCACTTCCTCTCAGCTGATTGGAAAGCTTGACAGTCATAACGTCACCTCTGACCTGCATCATCCTGCTGTCCAAGCTGTTGAGGCCACCTGCTGCTACGTGTCTCTTTGAATGAAAAAGGGCAAGAAACATGAAAGGAAAATCAGTCCTGATGCCCACCTGCCTAAGTGCAGGAGGCACTGAGGAGGATGGAATAAAATGGGAAATATTTCAAAGGTGATAACATAAGAGAACATTGAAGCAAAAAAATGAAAGTTCTTCATAGATATGATAATTATCGAATGTTTTATCGGATCTGATCTGAAACCAAATCTTTCACCAAACAGTCTGCATGAATACAAACTATGTTTTGAAGACCCGGGTGTTATATTAATCTATGAACATTTAACTTTTTTGCATTGTGTACAGTGTAGTAAAGTGACAAAAGTGTAATAATAGTGAAAGCTATATTCTTCTGTGGCACTGTTCTTATTCACTTAAACCCCGTTGATTGATGGGATGAATCATTATTCTATTAATGAGTAAGTGATGATTTTGTCAACATTTGTATCGATTAATTCCATAATTTCCTTTCATTGCATGTGGACATGAAACCAAAAATCTCAAGGACTTGTGTTTTGCCACAAACAGAATCTGCTGCCTAGCAATTATTTCCCATGATTTATTCAAGTCATGTAAATGCAAACAGTCATTCTTTTCAATGAAGCTGATAATCTAATATTGAATGTGCCACCCTCGACTATGCATTGAGTTAGTCCTTAAATTGAGTTTTAAACTTTAACTATCCTTTTCAGCACCATGGACAAGCTCATCCATCTCTGGAATAATTAGTCTGTGACTTTCATTCCCTGAAAAAACATTCATTCATTTTTGCCATTCATTTTTTTCATTTTCAGACAATTAAAAAGAACTTCTTTTGAAAAGAAAAGTTCTTCCACCTCAAATGACTAGGAGTGCTGGAGTACAGGACAAAAATATAAACAAAGTACAGTAAAACTCAGTTTTGTATCAAAGGTTGTATCAGTCGGGTGCATAACATTTAATATGACTTTTGCAAAGTCCAAGTTGCAGTTAAATCTATGGAAGTCATACAAATCTGACAATCAATAATCTACACTGCACATTTTTCATTCAAAGTACCCGGTAAGTGCACATGCAGTAGTTTATCACTGCAGCCAGTAAGTGCACGTGTGGTCATTTGTCATTGCTGCTGGTAAGTCAAGAGTATCTTTCCTGTGATTCACTGCAGCCAGTAGATGTGGTTAGCACAAGGACCCGGCTTTGGTTCCCAGGTGGGGCGAACCCTTCGGCAAGTTTCCTTACTCTACAAGCATCTATTTACCAAGCAATAAGTAGGAAACCAGTTGTTAGTCGATTGGCAGATCGCCTTCTGGGGGTAATAATCTCTCAAAAAAAGTTGGTTACTCAATCCATGATTGTTTGCGGGGCACTGCTGTGCACAGTTGGCTGCCATGTTTCACCCACAAAATATATGGTCAATCCATTTTACAGTATTCTCTGTGTAGCATATTGAGATGTCTCAGTGACATGAAAAGGTGTTATATGAAATGCAAGGATTATTATTTTATATGACTTAGGCGATTATAGAGATATTTATAAAGATAAGACTTATACGAGTTTTACTGCACAAAGTTCTTTTTAGTTAGAAAAATAGGATAGGATAGATAAGGTATGAAAAATCTAAATTAAACTCAAAAAATAAAAATGAGAAAAAAAGTTAACATTTTTAGATTGTTTAATATTATAGTAATAAAGCTCTGATCTTTGAATACATTTCTTACTCTTATATCAGCATTGCTTTGAGCATGGCTATGCGTGACATGAAAATGTACAGAACTACTTTGCCCAAGTGGACGTGAGTCTCGCTCAGCTCTCTGATAGTGTGAGTTTAACTAAACAGAGAACCCGTTTTTGTTTAGACAGTGACTTGATGCAATTGAGCCATTGAAAAATAATGCAGAATTCAAGAAAAGTCACTATACTTAATGGGGAAAATGAGTGGTCTGTGATACGATCATTATCGCATCATCCTCCCACGCCTCCATCCCACCCACCTCATAAGCTCTAAAAAAATGGAAAGTATCTATCAAAGTTGCCCAATATATTTGAGTCATGTAAATTGTTTAATGTGCAGGAATTCTTCTGTAAAGCATGGTCTATTCTGTTAATTTGTATGCAACAAAATTGAGTTCTACGAAGTCCATAATTATGTACAGTTTTATATAAATTTGTTCATTCATATACATTTGCAATGATGTATTTGAAGACTAAATTTATTTGACGAACAATAGTTAGTATTTACAATAACTGGGAAATGTGGAGGGAAACTTAGTACTATCATTCCCCACAGACAAAGAACCCACAGCAAGAGATAGTCTTTGATTTATCTGAAATCGATGCTGAATTGGCAGTATCTTTCAGAGGTTACTAAAGGATTCATGTGGGAAATGAAAGGTCAAGCTGGTTGTAGTAAAAGGTCCTCCCCTGAGAGTCAGGTTGATGTGTAATATTAGTGCAGTTTAGTAGTAGCTTTATTGTGTATCTAACCTACATTATACCTTGACGTACTTTGACACCTAAGACATTTGAGGGCAGTGGGGCATTTGTTTTTTGATCCAGACCTCCCAACGACCAAGCTTCATATAGCATTGAGCTCACCATTGTACCTGATGTAACTATGACTAATCTGATGCAGCCCTCACCTTGATGAATAGAAATATCAATTTTAGGCCTTGGCAAAGATTCAATTTGAATAATTTTAATAATTTACATTTTTTTCTAGCTAACTATTTTCATAAAGCTTGTGACAAAATTATAAAAGAGCCATGTGACTCAATTCATAACATCTCTCCTTACACTGAACACAAGCTGTACACAGACAGAAGATCCCAGTTTAGATCGCTCAGGTTCGTTTCTGCTAACCTGTGCTGCAAAGTGTGTGTATGTGAATGTTGGTTGAGAACAGGATGAAGAATAGTTCTGATCACTGAAACAAATAACATGGTGATATTCAGCACTTAGACTGATGGAGGAGAAATGACAACATGGGAAAGATTCTCAAGTGAGAATTATACTCAGAATGAATCGGTGCCTTCAGCAGAAGATAGAGAACAAGCAAACACAAAAGTTATTTCAAGTCAGTCGGTTCATAGAATCATAAGTTTATAGTACAGAAGACCATTCATGTTCGCTCACGCCCCCGCTGGAGCTATTTTTTCTTATTCCATATCTCAGAATCTTTTAATAATAATTTCCACAAGTGGTCAACTATTCTACTGTTAAATGTTGCTATGGAATTAGCTTGTAACAACCATTTTTGGTAAGGCATGCTACATTTTTCAAAATGTAAAATAAACTAACCATCCAATTTTTCTTTAGTTGTTTTTCAATCGTTTCTTCGTGGTTTCTGAATAAGTTTGAAAAGAGGAATACTGTTAACTAGTGCAGGATATCCCCAAGTGATTTTTCAGAGAAATAAAAGGCAAACTGGGGTTCTTTCAAATATGTAGTTTAATAAAGTTTAATATACTAGAAAATCACTTGCTGGGAAATGTACATATATTATAAATTCAGAAATTAATTAAAAGTCCTACTGTGGTAGACACCACCAAGATTAAAAACAGGAAATAAGATGAAATTAATCAGGCTTGAGTTTTAAAAGTCTGTTGATTATAAAAATTGGCCTCTGGCTAAAAAGCAGCTTTTTTGAAGGCCATTTGTTCAGTGAAATCGACCGCAAGATCTCTAAAGAATGATATAGTCACATTATGGATGTTCCCCAGTTAGCCTTTGATTTTATGCATCAAACCAGGAAGAGTTATCTCGGATGATATCCTGACCAACAAAATAACTCAACTACATAAGTATTGTCACTTGTGAGACCGTAACCCACTCTTAATCTTGTTATTCATGAATTATCTGATCTTGAATAATTTCAAGAGGCATTTGTAATATTACACACCTGGTGATCACCACATATCCACAGACCAGTGCATCTCCCCAAGAGTATTTCTATGAATAGAAATAACGCTTATGAGGGCCTGTTATTAACTCTGGCTTACATGTATACATATAAAAGTATTGAAGCATGATTTGCCTCTGGCTGCTCCAGTAACAGCGATATGCTTCAGCATGATATTAGGTCAGAAATATTGAATTGTAGCCATTTCTTTAGTTTTGAATTTTACAGTGCTTCATCTTTTATTTGTCTGCCCAATCTATTGCATATTGAGTCCATTCGAAACATTTTAAATTTGCCTCTCCTTTTGTAAAGTTAGACCGCATAAACCTGAAGTGGAGTCCTGTAGCTCAGTGGTTAGAGCACTCGCCTTGCAAGCGAGAGACCTGAGTTCAATTCCAGGCAGGGCGAAACCTTGGGCAAGTTTCCTTACTCCACACACCTAATAATAATCCCTTCAAAAAACAAACAATAATAAATTGGTCATTTTCAATCTACGACTGTTTGTGGGACATTGCTGTGCGCAATTGGCTGCCGCGTTCGCCCACAAATATACAGTCAATTCACTTTACAGTGTGTTCTGTGAAGCGCTTTGGGACGTCCTCCCGACGTGAAAAGCGCTATATCAAATGCAAGTATTATTATTATTATTATAAGCTATCAACAACAGCAACAACAACAACAACAACAAAATTACATTTGTATAGAACCTTTCACGTTGGGAGGATGTGCCAAGACGCTATCAGTATAACTTGTGAGCTGGAACCACACTTGTCCCAAAGTATGTTCTACTGCAAGAAATCTGATCAATATTTCTTTCTGCATTTCACTGTCTGATTTCTTTCATACACAGGGCTGCTTAACAATCATCCGACCAATGCAGAGCCACAGTGCTGTGATGTCAGATGGGAGTCCCGTAATTCAGTTTCAAATAAAAAATCCAAAGGGACTAAAGAAGCGAGCAACCCAATGCTGTGTCACAGGTCATCGCTTGCCTCATCAGCAGCATCGAGACTCTGTAACACTAGACTCAAACTGTGCGTTCTGGTACTTATTCTGTTGCATACGGTTGTGACAGTCTCTGCAGCACAGAATAGTACTGGATTGGGCTTTGGAGGGCTTGCTGCTTGGGATGAAAACTCAACCAACGATGAGTAAGGACATGTGCTGTCATTTGATTTGCGCACTTACAGCCCCACTGATTCAAGGACTATGATCGTATCTGATGGAGACTGGGAGAGTTTGTCCCCGAATCGCATCTTACCAAGCCTTCTGGAAAGTTGCAGAATGGTGTGGGTCAGACTCATGCCAACAAAGACACAACACAGCCTTTTACTGATTAAAAGACTGTGCAACACAAGACTCCGATTTCTCATTCCATTTTATACACCGTGTTTTAATGTTTAGACTTTGCTTTTTGCACTAGTTACTACAGACTTGGGTTTCCTGGAACCGTTTCTCAACACTAAATTGAGTTGTTACACTGTCTGTATTTCTAGTCAGAGCGTGTGTCCATCCAGCAGTTTTCTCCTTTTATGTCCTGTCGGTTTATAGTAGAGCAACCCTGTTATGACATAATGGCATAGCAGGATATTAACTGTCCTTTCTCCCCATTAAAAAAAATCTTTGTTCCCATTTCATGTGGAGCAGACAAAACCTGGTCTGCTCCAGTCAATATCAAGCAAGATGAGCATATGAATGCTCCGTGCGATACACAACTGCCTCTGCCACTGTTGCACAAACCAGCTGAATGAAAAAAATAAAAGCCAAGGGACATGTGGCTTCCTTCTAAATCCATCAAGCCAAACAATAAGTGCTCTCCACAGCTATGAGAAGGTGGTGAATGGTTAACAGTGTCTTGGATGGCAAAGAGATTCTTTTGTCCCAGTTCCCATTTCAAATGAGTCCAGTCCTTTCTACTTGGTCAGTTGGAGCAGTTGAGTAGCCTTAACCTTAATATAATTCCAAACGGCTCAGTAAATGAGATATTTAGATGCTTATGATTCACACAAGGTGCCATTTCAATTTGTAGTTTAGCTGGATTTTATTTCATTGTCATTTTTACCATCCAGTATGCAAATGACAAATTTAAAAAGTAATTATAATTGTGCCTCTATACAACCCTTTTACTGCCATGAGCAGACAATTGTGGGCTCAAAGGGGCAACTGCCATTGATGTTGTAGTTATAGAATGAAAGAATGCTTTTTATCGCACCTATACTAGGGACCAAAACTGGGAGATTCCTTAATAATGACTCCAATAAGGAATTCCTCTGATAATCACAAGTGTGTCATCCCAACCCACTGCACATCTGCTCTGTCGCATCTCAGAGTGGGATTGTACATGACATGCTTCCAATTCCCAAAGCAATTTTCTACCCCAGAATCATTATTAAGGAATCCTTGGTAGAAATCGCTGTCTTTGAGACCCTGGCAATCACTGGTTGCGTAATTGCATTGTACGGCTGACATTGAAGCATGAGGGAAGGGGCAATTTTTATACTCCTACTTAGGTTTGCAAATGGATATAAAGTCGTAGGCAAACACAATGACAATGTTTCTATTGGTCATTGTTGTTAGGAGGAATGAACTCGCAACAAGTGAGTCCCTGCTCCTCCTGTTCTTGCGAGTTTACTTTTTATTATTATTCAGATTTTCCTTTCTCATACATGCCAGCCAGCGAGGACTGGAATTTATTTCTCTTCAATTTACATCAAGCTCTTATTTTATTTTTATTCCCATCGTAGTGTTTAAACGTAATACAGTATCCAGCCCACAGTCAACAAAGGGAAATGATACATGGACAAAACAATAGACTATCAGGGTCCCTTTAGGATGAAATTGTAGGTTATTGTCCTGTGCACATGGCAATGATAAAATACTATCTGAAGTCTGACCACGGGACCAGACAGAAATGATTTATTAATCTTAAACTGAGGATCAGGCTCATCAACAAGTTAAATCAAAGTACACATTATCGGGGCAACTCTCCATATGTCAATAAATTTATAGACCATCAGCGATGAGTGATTTATTATTCAAGCAAACAACAGACAAACAAACAACAGCAGCAGCATCCAATGGTGGGTAAATTTACCAACAAGATTAGAATATCAGCCCCCGGTGCCCCCTCCCCTCCTTCCACAAATGCACACACTTAGGTACACACACCCACACACAAACATGCACATATATGCTCCTGCATACAAGTACAGATGAACATTTACTTTTAAGTGGTACTGTAGGGATCACTGAATTCAAAAAAAAATACTTCTTTAAAAGAAAGTTATAGGCAAAATAAAATGATTTGCCTTATATAGAAGTGAACATTATAGAAATCTGAAAATTCAATTCATTTGGAGGCAATCTTTTTCTAATCAAGTGGTTTTAAATAACAGTATGTTTCTCCCATTAAAAAGTGCATTGATTTTTCTCATGGACTGTTTAAAAAAAGTTGAACTGCATAACACAAAACAAATGTCAAACAGTTAATTGTATCACTGTGTGTTATTTCAACTGAGGCTGTGTTTTGTGTTTCTGAGAAACCTTGTGTTGAATCCAATCACCACTGCTGCTAAATTGCATGGGCTTTGGCTGTTTATGTTTAGGGGCTGTCAACTTAGAGCAAGTGAGGAAATGGCATATCTTTCACTATCCCGTACAAATGGAAATTTACATTGTCAATAAGCACAGTGTTCCTTTTTTTTCCACATTCCAAGGTATTGTTCAAAGAATGTCAAAGGAAGAGAAAAGACGATGCAGTGAATCAGTTGACACACCTATCCAGGAACCCATTCACATCAAATGGACATTGTTTTTAAACCATACCTTAGATATCTGAAGGCTGGAGCTTTGAAATGTTGGTTCTCTTCTTTTTCGTTACACAACAGGGTCCAAAGAAAACTAAACTCTTCCTCCAGGATTTTTTAAAGCATATGCAGGTCTGTAGAAAACAATTTATATTTGCTTTAACATTTTATTTATGTAGAATTACATAGACTGCACAGCATGAAAACAGTCCAAAAAGTTTGTACCAGTGTTAATGCTCTACAAGCGGTCCAAATCCCCTCTTTGATACCTCTCTATTTCCTTCCCCCTCACATATCAAGTTTCCACTTAAATTTGGTTTATTTGGCATACAAGAATATTTACCGCATAGTTTTCAAGAATGAAAATGAAAACAAGATGAATGTAAACTCATGTTGCTCATACTTTGAGTGAGTGTATGTCCAAAACACAGGCTGTTATTCTCTTCTTATATACAGTAAAGAATCCAGACTGCTGCTGGTCAATTCTCCATTAAAACTTTGGAGGCCATCATGGATTTCTGAAAGACATTTCCATTTAGTCCCATACTCCTGTCTTTTCTGGATTATCTTTTTATATTTCTTCTTTTCAGAAATTTATTGGATTCCCTCTTAAATGCTAATATAGATTCTGCCTCAATCACTGTTGCAGGTAGAGCATTCCATGTCTTTTTAAACCTCTAAGAATAAATTTCTCCTAACCTCTCCCTTTGCTCTTTTAGTAATTATCTTTAGTTACTGACTCACTAATCACTCAAAATAATTTCTGTCTATTTACTTTAACATTTTTTTAAAAATCTAATGATATAATATATTCGACAAATCATGGTTTGCTTGCTGAATCCTGCAAACCATCACAGCCTGTGTGATGCTTGCCATCAGCTAAAAAAGTAAATCTACCGCTTATGAATTCAATCCATATATATCCATGAAGGTCAATACCAGAACCAGGTGTTTCAAGGGCACAGCATATCTTGGGAGTAATGTCACATTTGCAAACTGCTAAGGCACCAGTCCATGTGTCTTATAATCCGAACTTCCCAAATGTACTCGTAGAATTATTCCAGTCTTTGCAGGACCAGAAGAGACCATTGTAATGCAGCTGGCCAGCCTTATTCATGGTCCAAGGATAATGTGCCCCCTTAGGATCTTCTAAGTAAGGTCATCAATGCTGCTACAAATAGCATGCTAGGCTTGTCAACCTTGTTGCCTAAACTGGCTCACTCCATCGGACAACAAAGGTTGTGTACATTTAAAGAGAAATAAAAACATCTTCTGGTGCAATGCAAGAGATGTTTTCGAAAAACTATCAATGATGTGCGTCTGACATCCTTTTTTTTACCAAGAAAGTTGTAAATGTCCATGAGAACAATCAAATGACTCTATTAATGAGGAAGGGGGAGAATCAATGGTCAGCCCACCTGCTAATCATTTCAGGACAAAAAGTGTTTATTTTACAAAATAGTAAACAAAATGTTCTATGGTTTCTTCCATTCCTGTGATTCTACTTTTATAATAATTAGTGTCAGAGATTTTCAGATTCTATTTAACAGACGTGTTATTTTAAAATAAAATGTATTTGGAAACCTGTGAAAGGCATCCTGTACTCAAACGATTAAGTAAAATATTGATACTTTTAAAAAGAAACCACATGGAAGACAATTGTTTAGTGTGTCCAACAAAACATACTTTTTACGTGGACTGTGATATTCACAGTTTATAACCAACTTCAAGTTCCTTGTCATTTTCTCTCGAAGATCACTTCACAGTCTGTATTTAGCATTGACAATGTCCTGCAGAAATGTACATCGATTTCCTTAATAGTGTTTGCAAATTTTGTTATAAACAAACCTTTACAGGATTGTTAATGTTTTTTTCACCAGCCATCACACTGTGCAATTATTTGTATGAGCTGTTTTGGTTTTCTTTGAGATTTAAAAAAAAACTTTGTCTCTCATACCATTACTTGATCTATTAGTTTTAATACTGTAGATTGACAAGGCACAAATTTAAGGGCTATTTTACGAGCTATACATTACTTCACATCATGAACCGAAACACTTAGTCTGCCTCTCTCATTGTATTTCATAAGTAGCATCACAGGCAATTTTGTCAACTGATCATTTGAGGTTGATCAGTGTCCATTAGTACTGTTTGGATTTGACTGGTACCTTTAAAGCTACACTTCTGATTTCATCAGAATTCTTGAGCAGTGTTCTTTCTTGTATTTGTAGTGTATTTGGTTTTCAGTGGCTTTTGTATAGGTAATGATCGCAAAAGAGGTTCGGATGAAGAAGGCCATTCAACCCATTTGATCTCATCAGATTACCCATATCGTCGAGTGGAACATGTTAAACAAATCCACTGGAAATATTGCACTATTTCAAGTTCAAAATATATATACATATATTTCAAGC